CTAGGGAGGTGGGGAGGGGAAGGAATTTTGTTCATGTATATACATATATATAAAGGTTGTAGGAATTGCTCATGTGAGTAACATGGTGCTTCCAGGCACACTGGGTGAAATTCTCAGGTGCAGAGAGGACCAGGGCAGCACTTGAGACACACCTGGGCCTTAAACATTGCAGAGGCATTTGTCAACTCCCTGCTCAGAGGCAAATTTCACCTTTTGCCAGGTCTAAGCTTGCAATGCAGTACTGCTCCGGCTTATCCAGATCTTTTCTGTTTGCAAAGTTAGATTAGTTCAACTGCAGTGTGGAACTTCATGTGTTTATGGGTGTTTGAATGTGGTCACCTTCAGCTGGGTGCACTCTGGATTATGGTGTAGTCAGGTGCCTGATGAATCTCCTTGTAGGAGTCCTGTGACCATCACACCAAGACCTTCAACACGTATGCCTAGGCAAGAGTGTGGAGAAGTGGAGGCTGCCTAAGGCCTACCGTCCCCACTTTAGACCACTGAGACAGACTCTAAAGGCCAGACCAAGTCCAGATGTTCAGGTCCTCGACAGTTGTAGCTTCTGCCAGAGAGCAGCAGATAAGAACTGCTGCTGACTCAGCGAGGGTGTGTTTCTGTCAGGGTGATGTGTGTCCCATAGTTTTTCTCCACCAAAGGAGTACCCACAAGGCAGTGAGGGCTAGGGTTTTGAGGCACCATATACTCCATGTTGCCACCAAACCCTCCAGTTGGATGCAGTTAACAGTCATACCCAGGACCATAATAGGATATGAGTCAGCAATACCTACTATTGCAGGGGAAAGGAACTTTTCTGTATTTCAAGCTGTAAGGGAAGGTCTGTGCATTTTCACAGCAACCAAGGGATTGTTAAAAGTTGCTACTATCTAATGGCTGTGTAGTGGCCTGTGCGCATCAAGTCTGCCAGGCCTTAAGGCATAGATGAAGCTGGAGGACAGAAGTCTATAGTTATGCTGACTATGCAGACCATATTGTGAGGCTGCTTTTGGGGTGGGATTTCTTTTCTGTTAGAAAGGAATGGTTTTCTATCCTGGTTCATCTGTCCTTAGCATTGATCTGCCTGTTTATTTGTTATTTTGTTTGTCTTCCTTCTCAGTAAGACACATTACACCTTACGCAGCCAAGTCTACCTCAGCATCATCACACTTGATTCTTTTTATTCAGTCTCTTAGTTCATCATCCTCTGTAAACCTGCTTACAAACAAAACTAAAAGTCTAGATCTTTTGTACAGTCCTTCCCTCCAACCTGTCAGTCTCTAGCCTTGAATCTTCCTAGAGGAAAAATCCCTGCACTTGCATGAAAAATACATAAATTTCCTTTTAGTTTTTACTTTTTAATCAAAAAGCGTGCTAGGTGCCGTGTAGCAATGTTTACATTTGGCATAAAAATACACTGAATGAGTGTAATTTGAGATTTTTATTTTTAAACTGGGAGGGGGGGGAGGGCAAAAGAAAATAAAAGAGGTAGTGAAAGAGAGATAGAGAGAAAAGAAAAGGAAAATAAGTTGATACCAGCCTCCGGATTATCAACGGGCTTAGCAGGATATGACTTTCTTTTTACTTCTGTCTTTGTGAGTCGTGTTATAATGAGTGTGTGTGTGTGTGTGCACGCGCGCGCACGTGTGTGTGTTCATTTGTGTGTGTGTGTGTGTGTGCATGTGTGTGTATCTGCCCTCTCCAGGACAGACTCAGAACTGCTCCTTTTGGGGAAGTTTCTGGGATAATGAAAAAACATGAGATACTCAGATACTATAGTGATAAATGCCTTAAGAAATCAGCCTCTACATATATAAAATCAAGCAGGCTTTGCACCACAAGCATTATACTGACAATAGCTAAGAAAGCTTCTTCACATAAAGTGCCAGTAGCCTGTGCTCTTGAAGCAAGAGATCTGTCCCTGACCGGCAAGTAGCAGTGGTCCACAGCCTCTTGACAGCCATGATCAGGCAGCAGCGGCTTTGCTATTGTGTCACCATTTATTTCTATATCTTTTTTTTTACTCAAATAAAATCTTTTATACATAGCTCCTAAACTTTCTTCTCTATTGACATTTGGTTGGAAGCATACCACCTCAGTACAACACTAGGCAGCGGCGTGATGATGTTCCCTACCTGCTCTGTGCTGGTTACTTGTTGAGCTGAAGGGAGAGTAGCCCTGCTGAGAAGAAGAACCTACTGGGGAGTGTGCAGCATCAGCACAATAAGATGACTACCCAGTTTCTAGTTCACAAGGTAGCACAGATGCAGCTATACTGGAGCACCGTAGATGCCCCTGCTGAGGCTCTAAAGCCTGTGGGAGTTTTGGTGGATTTAATGGAGTACTGCATCACTGCTAATACCACAGGGCCAGATTCTGAAATCTGTGGCACCTTTTTACTTCTGGAGTGACTCTTCTGAAATCAATAGAGTTCTCCCAAGATTATTCAGGAGTAAATAGGAACAGAATCTGGCCCCCTGGGTACCTCTGTGTACT